CCCCAAAACCCCAAAACCCCAAAACCCCTTAAAGGATTTAGTCCAACAATCATATGAAATGAAAATTGAATAAATACTCAAAACAATTAATTATCAAAGCCTAATAATATTAAAGGAGATGTTCTAGAGATAGCGATTTGGACACAGACATTCAATAGAGGCAGAAAGCTTTATTAAAGAAAAAGGTCTCACTGACAATATCTAATTCTTTCAGACAAGATGTTCTAATTCAAGGCCAAGAGAGCGACATTAATCTCTTGCTCAGAAAAAGGACCAATCCCCAGACTTAAAAAGATCTACTTTTAAATAATCATCTACATTCATGATGTCACCTGATGCCTCACCTCAATGAGGAATACAAAATAATAAGGTCGGAAAGAATACGCTGCCTAAAATCTTATTGAATACTTTCTATAATAAGAAGTAGAGCTGCTTTGATGTTTCCATTAATCATGAAGACATTACCTATGGAATTATGGGATTTGAGCATCAGCCAAGCAAAAAAGATTCCAGGAGAAAGCGATAATATCGAAAGAGAATCGAAGAGCCTGAGTAACTTATAATGAAGCTTAATTAAAAAGCCAAATTCACATAAAAACTTAAGATTTAACGGAGAAACCAGGATATTCATGATGTTACCTTTTTCGCCATTGGAGGGGAACTAAAAAACAAAAAACGGTTCGACTAAGAAGACGTTAAAGTGTCTGAATCTACATTAGCAGAATCTGCTTTTCCAAGTAGCCAAAGTGGAATTCAAGAAAACATTGATGGATCTTAAAACTCTTATCAAATTTTGAATGATTCTGACTACCTGCTTTACCATGATTTTTCTGAGCAAAATCGAGCAAAATTAATTGATTGGATGATATTAGTATTCAAGGTTCTTAATAAAAGTGTACTCAAGACATTTTTTTTGGCAATCTAGATATTAGATAGGTATTTTATAAGAAAATAAGGGAATGGTCAAAAAGCTAGAAAATAAGATTTACACATCACTGGACTTACCGCTATTTTAGTCAGTTCAAAATTTGAAGATATCGTGCCCATTTATATGCGGTAGATATTGGTTGATGCGGCTCATGGTAAGTTTACTCCTGATCAAATTATGACACGTGAGAGGGATATATTAATAACTCTAGATTACTGTTTTCACAGAGATACGATTCTAGAGGTTTCTACCATATTACTGAAGTAAGTTTTTATCAGTGTAAACGAACCCAAATTATCAAAACTTGAAGAAGATTAAATCATGTCACACACTCATTTTTTATTGCAGATGGTGGCATATTCTATTATTTTCCTCTAGCATGAAATCCGCTACTTATCATTAGCTATCATATGGCTTTCATTAAAATATCAAAAGACTCAGTCTGCCAATAAAAACTAAAATCTAAATGACAAAAATAATAGAAGCATTTTCCTCCTAGTAGATTCTATTGAGAGTAATTCGCCAATTAAAAATGCAATTAATGTCTTTAAAAATGAATTCATAAGGCATAATCAGTTCGAAATAAGAAATATAAGGTTCAAGATAGCGGATCTCTACTCAAACTTTGATGGCTATTTCCCAGGTCTGAAAAACATCAAAAGGAACTATCCTTAATATTTCTGATTGTGAAATTAATGCCTGATTTAGAGAGTGCTTCATTAATTTCATTACTTATAGAACTTAATCTGACAATTTAATTGACTGAGTTACTTTATGTTAATGATAATATCATCAAGTATTGTAGTTTAATTAATGAATATACTAAATTTTATGCAAAGTCCAATTCACTTTATTAATTATCGGGGTTTTGGGGTTTTGGGGTTTTGGGG